AGTCGATGAGGAGGGTGATTTGAAGTGAAAGAGATCAAGGAGAAATTGCTTGGTCAGGGTTTGATTGCTTGGTCTGTTTGTGTGTGTGTGTGTGTGTGTGTGTTTTTCTATAGAATGAAAATCGCTTTATGTAAAATGCAATTATGGTAAGAAGGACCCAACACACACTGTTATGTGCAGTATATGTAAACAAAAGGAAGAGCAAGAGCTCATTATTTGGGGTTTGGGAAAATAAATTGCCATTTAACTGTATAACAGGATAAGTTTATATTGAATTTTGATTTATTAGACTAAACTTTCAGATCTCTGTCTATAAGGTACTCAATATTGGACATAAATATAGACATTGTGGTCATAGGAATCAACATTTCATGGTGACTGTCAGTTTCACACATTAATGTGATCTTCAGGTCCAGGTCTAAAGATTTTATTGAAGTGTGAAACTGATATTCAGTATGCAGTATTGATTCCTATAACCACACTTTGTGTGTGTATATATATATATATATATAGTCATCCACAGACAGACTGTTTCGCTGTATCACAGCTCATCATTGTGGCTAGACATCTGATTGCCTCAAGCCAAGATTGAAACCCAACTGTTTTGGCATCATTCAGAAATATTTTCCCTAAGCTATCAGCTCCCGGTAGAAAGGAAGGTGAATTTTTACATATTTATTTTTGAATAAACACGCCAGTGACTCATAGTGCTTGATTCATAGAACAGCTTTGCATTATCAGCAGTAGTAGTTACTGTTTACAAATTCGCACTTACCCTCGACCGAATTTAATTTTATCAGGGGCATATATATATATATATATATATATATATATATATATATATATATATATAAAATGTTATTTTAGTGTATACCTATATTTGCTTTTTAGTCTTTAACAATAAGCCTGAATATTCAGAACAACAATATACTGTTTAAAAATATAAAAAAAGAAGTCTACTCAAATACTAGCATCCACTAAAAGTAACATTTAAGTGATAAAAGTATACATAGTGGACACTGACATAAACATAGTGGCGACAGTCTGTTTTATGTTTGAATGCAATCTTTAGGCCATGTGTGTTAGATGGTAGCTCTACTATATATTTAGGCATTATGGGTAGCAGGATCAGTTATTTTAGGTTTATTATCCTAACAATTATCCAATAACAGTTAAGGTTAACACAGTGAATGTGAAATAACTGTCCCTGCTACCTATAATACCCCCATTGACCAGTATATATAGTCAAGCTTCCATCCAACATACACATGGACTGAAGGACAGTGTTCCAGCATTAAACAAATTGTTGTCACTTGGTGTTGACCTCTGTCCCCACTTTGTATTTACACATGTTCAATCCCTGATATTGAGCACTTGTACCCATAAATATAGCATACCATAATTAATATATATATATATATATATATATATATATATTTATATAGTTGGATTGATTTCATAGAAAATATGTGAAAAATTGATCTCATCCTACATGGAATGGTCATTTTAGCTGGAGATCCTTACTCTGTCTTAGACATTGAGTTCTACCTGGATCCTTCCTCTTGGAAAATTTTTTTTTTTTTTTTTTTTTTTTTTTTCTGAAAATATACATGTATGGGAATTTTTTATATATATTTTGCATATGTATGTATATTTTCCACTAATATTATCAATTCTATATATATATATATATATATATATATATATATATATATATATATATATATATATATATATATATATATATATATATATGAAGAAATATACTCTTAAGGTCTGCTATATTTATAGGATAAAGTCCTCAATATCAGAGATAGTGTGTGTAAATATAAAAGTGAACATTGAAGTCAACACTCAGAGGCGACAGGCTGTTTCATGTTAGATGCAATTGTCAGGCCTGATGATTGTGTCTAGCATGAAACAACCTGTTGCCTCTAAGTGTTGACTTCAATGTTCACTTATATATGATTTTTTTTTTTTTTATACCTACACTTGAATATACAATAATACCTAATTTAATATTGTCTGCTTCCCTTGTATTACAACTCTCAAAATTCTGGAAACTGTTGTCATACAAGGAAAGCAGACATATACACACACATATATATTTTATAAGATGTATTTTGGCAGCAAGTGCTCTCTGAAACATGTTTTGTTAAATAATATGGACAAGTTCTGTTTATTTTATTAAATTATTGATTTGGTTCCATCAAATGTGAGAACACCAGAATTAAAAACCAGTTGTGTAACAACAATCCTTGAAAATGAATGTACCAACATTAGAACATACTCGGTAGGGGATAATATAAAATAAAAGTTGATATGAATTTTGGCAAATTTACCAATAACATAAAACAACTTATTGATGATATTCTGTTATGTTGACATAGAAGATTGCTATGTGACAATAACGGTCGTGGAATAGCAGACACAAGTCGTAAATTCATGATGCGTTTCTTGACGTCTGCTAGTCCACGACTGTTATCGTCGCATAGCAATCTTTGATGGTGAATATCTTTGTTTAAATGTCCGTATAACCACTCTGAAGATGGTTCATGTGAGCCGAAAGCTTAGATCAAGGACCATCTTAATAAAAAAATAATGTTGGACAATTTTTGCCTTTATTTTCACACAAAATTAAAGCAACAATACAAAGTTTAGAATGGCTCATGATTAAACATAATAGACATTCATTGTCTGTTATATTTAACAATATATGTTTTAATAAGGATCTGATGCCCCAATACACTATATATATATATATATATATATATATATATATATATATATATATAATGTGAGAAAAGAGTTTAATATATTGAGTGTATAATTAGTGTTTATGGTATTTATTATATTGTGTATTAGTTAAGACAGTTGAATATCCATTACATTGCATCTTTAAGTATGGTAGTATTAAGAAATATTTTAGTTTATATCACTTTGCCAATCTCTTATAAAGGAACAGAAGACAGTTACACTCTATATATAAATTGATTATATTTTTTCAAACTAATTTTTTTTTTTTTTTTTTTTACCATACTGTTGTGGCTGTTCCACACCTGACATTTTGACCTTGTATTTTGCAAAGTTGAACCCTGTTTTGAGGAGGTGTGTACTTCCCACTCCCATACGGGAACTCATAGACTGCAAATATGTGATACGTATTTGATAGGTAGTATATACTCTCCTCAAAACAAAATTTGATATTCCAAAATACAACATAGAAAGCCAGAGAGTGGATACAGTCTCTTTTTTTTTTTTTTTTTCTTTTTAAGGAAAAGAAAAATAATTGTTCCAAATGAAATAAAATACAATGACCTTTAACCCTTTCAATATGCTTATACCTGCCCCATAAATATTGGCTCTCAAAGTTTCACTGCTTATGGTCGAAGTCTCACTGTTTGCATAACTTCCTGCATTATTTACAATGATGTTGTCATATATTATGGCAGAATAGGAGGAGGCACAGTGGAGTAATGGATAGCGGCTCGGATTGAGAAATTGGAGAGAGCTGAGTTCAAATTCCAGTCGAATCTGTTACATTCACTTACATGCTAATACCATTAGGAAAGGTATGAATCCTCTTCTTCTCCCCCGCCCAGCTATGGGTAAATAGCAGAACAGATCGGGTTCTATAGCCTTGGATGGCAACTGGTCTACCGAAGAAAGAAATGGCAACCTACTGTGGGAAAAATCTGCCTCGTCAGTCATGTATTGAAAGATACATAATCGCCTACACATGTATCACGCATGGCACATAACTGACTGATGAATAGGGTGCATTACAACAGGTTGAGCATTGAGAGCCAATATTTATGGGGTAGGTTTGAACGCTGAAGGGTTAAGGCAATTTAAATTGTTCTGCTGTATATAAAAGAAATTGGGCACATTATTCACCCAAGGACCAATTTTAATGAGAGAATTGCTGTGCAACATAATGGAAACTTTATACGATTCAGGTCAATGTGCAAAATTTATTAGAATTACTTATGCTGTAAATTCTTATAAATAATTACAAAACCCTAAAACTATGAAAGAATTGTAAGGATCCATTACACTTAATGAAAGAAAATTTCCCTCACAATGCTGTGTATTACACTTGAGTCTAAAGAAGAAGAAAAAAAAAATAACAGATGTCTTTATGCTGAACAATAGAAATCATATAGGAGGAAGAAGTGAAGGTGCCTTTTTCATTGTTTTTGTAAAGACATGGAGGCTCATTGCACTGTAAAGGGAAGGGTGGTGTTTAATAAAGAAACTGTTGTGTTATGATCGACTTGTCTGTTTTAAGAAATGCATATACTTTGTATTAAATGCGTCCTTTTATGTCTTGAAAGTCATAGGCCAAGAGTTTTTCCTTCTATGGAAAAACACGTATCGGATAAAGTAAAGACAGACTATTAATTATGGTGAGATTTGCGTATGTGTGTCTGCATGAATGAAAGAGAAAAACAAAATCATATGAAGACCAAAAATGATCTTGGTGACAGCTTCCATTTATAAACTCAATGTCGGATGTTTTGGGGTTTTTTTGGGTTTTTTTTACCGCCATTTTGGCATCCACTCGAGACTTTTCTTTTGACATCAGGGGATTAACCCCAACCTTGTCAGACTTTATAATATTTATTTGAGTCCAACTTACCATTTGAGTTGGATTTTATTTTAATTTTTTTTTTTTTTATTATTAAAGAAAAATATCAAAAAAAGAAAAACAAAGGAAAAACACTCTAACATCAATGGTGAAACTTTTTTCTAGCACGAAGAGTTGGCAACTGTTTGCATATCAATAATTGCCCCCACCATTTTAAAAAAAAATCCCTAAAATGTAATTTTGGTAGTGGCAAATGTTGTGAAATAGTCAATGGTCAATCACCTTGGCTTCAATGAATGCAGTCACTAACTGAAAAGGAAATGTCTAACAATGGTAACAATGTAATTAGTTAAAAAAAAAAAATATATATTAAAAAAAAACAAAAGAAAATTGTAAATAAATATTTTTG